AGTGAAGATAACAGTGCAGCTTTACTTTTGAGTTCCATGTACCATCTTCCAGATTTACTAGATTCCCAGTTAAAACCTTGGCACAATATTTCGAAACCTGTTCCTGTCCCTGAACATATTTTGGCAGGGGCGACCTTCACTTCTTCAGTTTCTGCAATGGTTTCCTCAGGTAAAGTTGGAACGGTAGTTCTGAAGATACTATACGCTTCAGCAGCCAATTTTTCTATTTCTTGAAGAATGGCTTCTTGTGCTTTTTTGGATCTTGTCCTTGGACTTTTATCAGAGAAAACGTCACTCACCAAGTTCCTCATTTCATTGATTAATCCATCGGCATATGCAGTACTTTCTTCTACTGCTTCTGTACTTCCGTCAGGTACCTGAGCATCTTTAGATTGAATCTCTGATTGTACAACATTTGCGTTTTTTGAGCTTGAAAGGGGGATGTAGAAGTCATTTCCCACACATCTCAACCACGTACTTTCATTTAGTTTCAAAAGAAAAAGAAATCCTGCGAGTCCTTCTTCCAAAGTAAACAGTCCCCAGCATCCATTTCCACCCTCTTTTTGCTGCACACAAGATGTCCATGATAATAACAAAATTGATCAAGAAAATAATTCATTCTTGACAAGTTTAATAGAAAAATTCTTTAGTAAGCACAAAACAGATAATAAACCTTGCTTTTAAAGCTTTTCTAGAGAAGCAGAAAGAAAATGAAAGTATAATTAAGATTTACGATTATACAAATTACTGTGGATGCTAATAGCCAGAACATATATGCATTCACCAGTTCTCTATCATGTATATCATGTACACCAAGTACGTATGCATTAAAAAATTTCTAACAAAGTCCTCCTATAAGTTACAGAAGGAGTCTTGTCCAAGGAAACCGTTTCTCCTGAGGTTTAGGAATTAATATTGTAAATAATTATGATTGTATTCCTGATTTGTAGAGATTCTTACTTGTTCGCTAAGCATACCCGATTGGATAAATAGGCCTTTGTGCTATGAATAAAATAATCAAGATTACAATTTCTATATAGTATAGGCCTCTGATCATACACATGCTCGCAAAAACAATACCCTATCTCTCTACTGTTCAAAATCATGCTTCAACCAACACAGAGATATTTGTATGCGAGAAGAGTTAACTAAAACGAACAATGTAGCACCAGTTTCATGATCTTCAAAATTATTGGAAGTTGTTCAGTGGATCACTAAACTCTGATTTCCAGTTATTATGTTGTTCTGCAAAAGTATTAGAAATTGTTCCTTTCCCCAAAAATTCAAACAAAAATATAACAGTGATCCCATAACTAGAATACAACATAATGATTTTATACAAAAGAAGTCAACAAACATTTGGTGTTTATACCACGAGAGAGAATGGTCAACTACAAAACTATATAAAATATAAAGAACAAGAGAGGAGGGAATAGAAAAGAAAAGAAAAAGTCTTAGAAACCTGTAATCGAGTCCGCAAAGCCTTGTCCTTGAATACTACTGTTTCTGGTGGATGCGGGGCAGCTGGAATTTCCCATGTTTTAGTATCATCTCTGCAAACTCCCCAGTGAACAACAGCATTATCAGGTAAATCTGTTTCCAAGTATAGTAGATTCTTAGCTGTCTCAGGGCACTTGCTAACGGAAACAGTTACTGAATTGTTTACAGAAATTTCTTTTGCAATTGGCAGTTCTTCATAGAATCCTTCTACACACGTAGTTTTCTGTTGAGGGTGTCTGGATTCACTGCCGCTGCTGTCTTGATCTTTGGAATTTGATGATTCTGCTTTGACGAACACGTTGGATAGTTTTCCCAAAACTCCTAGAATCGAATTGGACACAAGCAATTTTCAAATTTTCACTCAGTTCAGGTTGGACAACTGTGGAGAAAAAGTGAAAATGAAAAACTAATCAACCATAACCCATCTCCTCCACAGCCAAAAAGGAGTGGGTATTTGTGGGCTCTAGAATTTTAGCCACGACTGCAAGACAGACGCTTGGCTTAACTGTTGACATTGGTTACATATGAATATAGACTCACACCAGAAAAACAAAACCTGTTTTTTATTCATTTAACTGCATCTAAGGATAAGTGGAAAAGGAATCATTTTTAAGAATGTATAGAAACATCGGAGTTTCACTCTTAAGCTGAATTAGGACAGTCTCCTTTTGGGCTTTTATTACACCGTTTCTTGGAAAATCACAAATTGGTTCAGATTTAACAGTATTACAAACAAAATAAATCAAGCAAACCAGAGAATAGAGTGGCATTGACAACCTGGCCACATGCCAAAGCCCTTTGTCGCTCCAACTACATTGTCATCGTCTTGTGGGTAGGCGACAAGAGGCACTCTAAAGTCACTCCCTCTGTGCTGATACCAAGCACCAGTTTCTTCATCCTGCAACACCAAAACACCCCAACAAGAGCAGACACTGAAGATGGCATAATAACATAATAGCCGGTATAATATAAAGGGCTTACTAGTTGAAAATCACAACCTTGAGAACAAAATTTATCGCTGCAATTGCGCTGTTGGGTTTAACATCAATCTTCACTTCATAAGATGTATCGCCTCCCACAGACGACAACGATTCCTTCAAGGGTGTCTCTATTGCATAGTCCTGAAAATCCTCATGTATATCAAATTCATTCCAACCAACAGCTCTGCAATCAAACTTAAGAACCCAATTACATACCTTGATGGGAACTGAACCAGCTGGTCTCATTTCACTAGGAGGCTGTTCCCATTCGCTGCACAATACAAACAAACATTTTAGAGAGAGAGAGAGAGAGAGAGAGAGAGAGAGAGAGTAATTGCAATATACTATTAAAGTCTGAAGATTTTACCAACTAACATCGTCCACAAAAGAAACTCCCCAATGAAGAACCCATTTTCCAGGAAGATTACAACCCACAGTCAGCACCCACTTCTTTTCATTCTTCCCATGATCTAATTTCACAAAGATCTTTCCCTCCACCTACCATTTCAAAGAGGCTAAATCAGATAATTCAGAAGGAAAATTTGACTTTCTGTTTGGTCGCCGAGAAACTGTGCGAAACAAACGAGCACCAATCGAAGTTTCCAGCTTTGAAAACACTGTTCATCTAGAAATCACAGAGCTTGAAATTTGAGCTCAGTAATTGGGCTACAAATTCAAAAAGCGTCGACAACCCACAAGCAAAAGAAACAGCAAATTCAGAAATGGCGGAAAGAACAAACCACTTCCGTCCGCTTGAGAGGGAAGGTCTTCTTGTAGATGGGATCGGTGGATTCGGAGGTCTCGACAGTGGTTGTATCGGTGGAGGCAGCTCTGACTCCGAGAGTGGGACCCCTCCTGGGAGTGGGAGGCTGGAAGTAACAGAAGCTGCGGCTGTTGGAGACTACTAGCTTCTTAGGAAAAGCAGTGAAAGAAGAGCTGAGCTTTAATGGATGATTCGACTGCGGACGGCGGTGGCTGGGTTTTTGTCGACCGTAGTGGTGGAGGTCCTGGAGGAGGGGCTCTATCCTAACCGTCGACATGGTATGAGCAACGGCCACTCGGGAGACTGAGAACATGAAAGCAACGAAATTTATGGAAAGAATGAGGGAGGTAGTGGTGGATCTCATTTTAGTTTTGGGAACTTTAACGAAATCCATCCAGTACTGTTTATTTTAACCAAAAATTATATTTTTACACTAAAAAGTCAATCTTGGTACTATTTATTTTACCATTTATTTTGTTATTATCATTAAAACTCAAAGTTTTTAAGCTTTTTTCATTAATTTTTCTTTTATTTTTATGTTTTATTCTAATTATTATCAACGGTATAAAAAGCTTGCGTACTTTTGTGTTACCCAAAAGCCAAAAGCACTTCCACCTAAAAACAAAAAGAAAGAGAGCCAAAAGCATGTCGAGTCTGTCGACTACAAAACTTGCGTACTCTTGATGCATTCCACGAAGGTACGACTTCAAAGCCTCTAATCAGAGAATCGTCAGTATTTTAATTAATATGTGTTTCGAATTCAAGACCATAGATCATACTTAGGGCTAGTTTGGTATTGTTATGTTTTAAAAAAAAACTGCTGTAAAAATAAGTGGTTGTGCTGTGAGAATAAGCGGCTGTGAAAAAAATCAGCAGAGTGTATGGTAAACTTTTTTGTAAAAGTGCTTTTGGAAAAAAAAAAGTGGGTCTTTTCATTAAAGGAGCACTGTAGCTCCGTGCGCTTTGAAAAAAAAACCAGTTTTCCAAAGCTGCAAATAGCAGCTTCAGCTTTTTCCTTTGATTTCAGCTTATTCTCACAGCAGCTTCCAAAATAAGCCATTTTTTTTCAATTTACCAAACACCTAAAACCCTCACAGCTTTTTTTCATGTGTGTTTTTTTTTAAGCACCTCACTCCTAAACTACCCCTTAATATATAATTCAAGATGATGGATCATACCTAACTTCAAAGTCTTACTTGTTATACTTAAAAAACATCTAATGAAGGGATTCAAACTCCATTAATAGAACTAGCCAATCACAAATACAGGTTATAAGAGCATAGTTTTCGTTTAATAGGATTAATAGATTTTCATGTTTTACCATGTTAAAAGGTAGTGAAGATGCGATGATCAAATGAATTACCGTTTCAAATTTCCGTTAGAAGAATTCTATCATAAGGAGATGAAGAGTGAGAAATACGCAACGACTACCATCAAAATTTTGACACCCGTGAGAACCATAGAGTTAAAAAAAAATCTCACTTTACGAAAATCTCCTTAGCATTAGCATTTCTCTTCTTTTGGGCGAAATGCTTACGCTCACGCAGAAAGCATTTTTGGTATTCTCTTTTATTTTCCTTTCACAAAGGTATCTAGGGTTAGGAATTCTCGAGTCCACATGGTACGACGTTTAAGAGCTTTTTCGTTTTTGTCAAACCTTCGAGAGACAGATCGCTGGATCCAAAATCAAATGACCAAAAAGGTCGGATCGGAAGATCTTTTGCACAAAAACCCGAAAAACCACCATTACTTGTGATCTAAGTTAACGAAACATTTACCATCGCTTCGAATTTGCCCTACGTTCGCAAGTTTGATTAATTATCGGAAAAAAAAAATTTCGAGATGCGTAAAAATGCATAGGGCGATTAACAAAAACCCACATAAAGCATTTTAACGTACACCCTCCGTCAACA